TTTGATAGGGCTCACTTTCACTATTGTGTGTCTGCATATCACTTTGGGTTTCTCAACATGAGCCTCAAGGATATCAGGGAAAAAGAAGGATGTTCTGCAAGTTTCTCATTGTTCCCATGAACCTAAGATAAGAACTGATATCACAAAGTTATGTTGCTAGGTTCAGAATGATTTGTCTCTGTAAGTATAACTTTAGATGTATAGAGCGTCAGACTCTTTTTAACCATAATTAGTGTCTCCATGAAGCACCCAGAAACTTGAATATTCCATTGTTATTTACCTTTGAGTTTTCAAAAGGTTTTAAGATGGAAAGCCCGTTTAAAAAATCATATAAAATAGTAGAGTTGAGCAGAAAACCGGAATATAAGCCATAAATGTAACTACAACTTGGGGTAGATAAATTCTTACAGTTGATGTTGATCTGAATTTACTAGCAATAGGGGCGCCTGGGTGGCTTAGTCGGTTAAGTGTCCGACTTTTGCTTAGGTCATGATCTCGCGGTTCGTGGGTTCGAGCCCCGTGTTGGGCTCTGTGCTGACTGCCAGCTCAGAGCCTGGAGCCTATTTCAGAGTCTGTGTCTCCCCCTCTCTCTGACTCTCCCCTGCTCACTCTGTCTATCTCTCTCTCCTAGAAATAAATAAAAATATTAAAAAAAAATAAATGAATTTACCAGCAATAAAAACAAAACAAAATGAGGTTCTGGTTCCGTGATTTATTATGTGTGGAAGAAGAAAGCCTATGATGTCACTTTTCTTTTTAGGGAATTGTTGCTGAAGTTGACCTTGAAGATTTTTTTCCCCCCCACGAATTCTTGTTTGGAAGATAATTACTAACGAGTAATAGACATTATCATTGAGGTTTCATAATAAACAGAAGCACTCTTTAGTGTATAGACTTAAATGGCTGAAACACAAATCCTATGTCAGTGAAGATATTTTCAGACTGAACAGTGTTACTGAGTTACGTTGCATTTCATTTATTAGCAACCTGCATAGTGCTTACTCTGCTATATTCTGTGCTAGACACTGGGGATTAATGGAAGAAATTGTCCTTGAAGCACTGAGTCCAATGGGGAATTTAGGTTGGCAAACATTATTAGAGTGTGTGAGTTGCTATAATGGGGACATGTGTACCAGGCCGTTGGAGCCCAAGAGGGTATGTTGTCTTGGAATTGTTGGGGGAAGGTTCTAATGATACATGATATTTGAGCTGATTCTTAAAAGTTTGGCTGGTTGAAAGGAAGGAAAGTGACATTTCTCTACAAAAAGAATGTTCTTGGATGCTCTAATTTATTTTAGCTAGGAACTTGTACACTTGAGAAATAATTAATGTCCACTAAACTTTTCAACTCAAATATCTTATGTCTTCATTGGATGTTTGGCATGTACTTGAGTGCAGCAACTTCATGATTAAAATCTCTTCTATTCCTATAGTGCACATATTCTGGCCCATAGTCAAAGCCCAGTAAATACTGGATGGACCGATGGATGAAAGGAAGGAGCAGAGAGTCCCATGTCACAGATAACACAAAGTATAGATGAGGTAGAGTTGTCCAAATGTTTAGCTTGAACTCTGGAGTCCTGCCTTGTGCAATACAAAAGTAATGAGTTCATTCTAAAAAAGTTTTAAGGGCAGTTCTTACCAGCTAATCACAACATCCTGGACTCTAGCCAGGCCTCTGTGGAGTGCCTGCTTTTGAATAGAGCTGCTGCTACTTGGTCCCTGTAGAATTATTAAGATGTGCACTGTATGCCTGAGCAGTTCTGAGGGCTGACCCGTGGAAGAGGTTGTTTCAGATGCCTGGTGAATGATGATCAAGTGCAGTACTCGTTTGGGTTTGTTGACGCTGAGCATCTTTTCCAGACAGTAACTAGCCAGCAAGCTCAAAAACACTTATTATGACTCTTCCCTTTCAGAAAGATAGAGACGACTTCTTGACCTTCAGATTCATGTGTTTACTTGCTTGCTTGACTATTCTTCAGGATTTCTTACAGCTATCTCCGACCTAAAAGGGGTCACTTAGAAGTTGCATAGCTCACCACCTCCTCCAGAACTGTGCTGCCTTTTATGGTTTGCTCCTTTCTTTAAATGGATGGACCATTTACCTGGTGACTCCGGGCAGAAGCATAGTATTAATTTGTGACATCTTCCCTTAGCGCTTAAATCTAATCAGACAATTTCAGTTAATATTTTCGACATCTGTCCACTTTACTTCATTTGTGTCATTGGCGTGTCCAAGCCACAATCATGCATTTGAACTACTGGCCTCTGCTTCCACTTTGGCTGTTTCTAATCAGTTCTCCACATACATGTAGGATAATCTTTGTGAAATGTAACTTGCTTATGTTGTCTTCTCCTTATGAGTCCTCAATGGCTTGGGTAAAATAAAAGGTATTTGTCCTGGCCTACGTGGCTGGGCATGATACAGCCTTAATTTAGCTCACCAGCTTCATCTTTTCCTCATTCAGTCTCTTACCTTCTCTCCAATTACAAGGACTATCTTGTGGCTTTTTGATGTGCCAAGCAGTTACCTGGCTTAGCACCTTTTCCCCGTTTCCTTTCCCCAGTATGCTGTTGTCTACTCTTGACCTAGCTCCATCCTTCTCATTTTTAGTTAAATTGTTACTTTTTCCTAGGGGATCTTTTCAGATGGTCCATTCTAAAGTTGCCCTCTATAATCTCTGTCAGGACTTCACGGAGTTGAAGAAGATGAATTCCTTTCATTTGTATCTCCCCCACCATACTGTGAGGCTTGGTGGGGACCATATCTCTTTGGTTCCCCAGTGAGCCATGTAGTAGAGAGCTTGCATAAGGATGGTGCTTCAGAAACACTTGTTGAGTGAAAGACTTTAATTGAAATAAAAGTTGATTTGGATAGAAAGGCAGTAGTAGCAGGGCCTGCCTCTAACTCCTGCAGCAGTGTTTGCAAGTTGATTCTACTTGAGTGTCTGGTAGAGTACTAATGGAAAGTCAATTACTACTATTTTGCTTTGCTTAAAAAGAAAAAAAAGATGCATTTTTACTGTTTATTTTGGGGAGTCTAACAGACCAAATTTAGGTTTTGTTGTGCTCTTGTAAAGCTGTACAACTTCGAGCAAGTTAACCAAGTTCTCTCAAGTCTACTTTCCCATATATAAATTGGGGAGAAGTGTATCTAATAAGCTTGTTACAAGGATTTTTATGAGATTATGTGAAGTGCTTCATACAGTGCCTAACACTTTAGAGGAGTTCAGACATTCTTTTTCTTATCCCCTTTATATCTCAAGAGATTAATAAGGACTCAGAAAAACTCCTTTAACTTACCTCATAATCTTACTGTTTTCATTTAATGCATAATTACGCCCAAGAGTATTAATTTGGGGGTCAAAATCAGTTTAGGAGGAAATAATCCATCTCTAGGGTACACATAAGCAATGATGTGCTGGTTATTTAATGGTCAATAACATTGGTTCCCCCTCAGAAAGGTAGACATGGAATTCTCCTTCGTCTTATCCCAAGAGTGGTTCTTTGACATTGTAAAACTGTAGTTACAAATAACTACAAGTAGTTGTTTTTCTTTCTAGTTCCCATAGATAGTCTATGGAGATAGGTGATATGAAAACATTTCCCCATTTTTGCTACTTTTATGGAGAATCCTTAGTAGTACTATTGAAAACTCTGAAGTCCACAACTCTTCTGTATATGTTAACAGCTTTGGGGGCAATTACAAATTGTAATGGTCTGAAGACCAGTTGTTAGATTCAGATGGATTGGATTCAAATTAGTAGGTGGTCTACAACTACCATTTCCTTAGGCATACCACTCTGGATGCTAAATTGAGTTTAAAGGAAAATGCTTGACTTGTGTCTGTCAAAATTATCAAAGTTCTCTGTCATTAAGTCAGAGTAACTGATCCACCCTTGCCTCTATTAGAGTTATTCCACTGAATGATAGGAGACAGTAACTGAGGCATGTTGAATTGCTTCTCTATAGGCCATATCTTTCAGAGAGCTAGGGGCTCTAGCATTAAAAGTTGAAGACCTTTGGGTTTGTCTACTCAAATACTGACCCAGGCAAGGATCTGTATTGTTAATTTAGGGATAGTTATGATTTAAAGCATTGTTATGAGGGGATACATAGGCAGTTAAGACCTAAGACATTAATTGACTATTTAGCTTAGTTTACAGCATGGAAACTTTAGGGAGGCCAAGGGAGTGGATATGAATTCCTTCTGGAGCGCTCTCACTCTGCCCTGTTCTGTGGCCAAAGATCTCACCTCAGACCCAAGCCAAGTATCTTGAAAAAGTGTATAATTGGTCATTTGGGATATTGGACTAAAAACATTTGAATGTGGGCGCAAATCCATGACCAACACTACGGGAGGTGTGCTGTATTGACAGAAGGAGGTCTGTATGAGTTCCGATGTCTAGACATCTCCTTTAGCTCCAGGTCGGTTTCTCACTGCAAACCCAGCTTCATAAACAATACGGCTAACCTGAGAGTCATGGTTGCTAATGTTAGCACATGTCATCTCCCAGAGGTAACAAAAGCCACTTGCACTGTTTTCAGGGTTTTTTTTTTTTTTTTTTTTAATTCTTTGACTTAAAATAATCTATGACAGTAAATGTTGTCTGTAAGTGGTTCTGGTCATTGAGTTTCCTTTTGGTGTTTTCTGTTGTGTACCTGGTGGGGCTGCAGTGTTTTAAAAGGAAATTGGGATCATACATTCTCAATGACTGAGTAGAATGGGAACCTACTATTAAATGAAGAAATAATGCATTATGTTTGATGAAATGCAAGTCTGATAGTTCAAAGCAGACCACCTCAGATGTCTCTAGTCTAATCAAAATGATTTGATGTTTAAATGACTTCTGTAGGGCATTTTGGTTTAATTAGATGCTAGGAATTGTACAGAAGTCATACAAGACCCACTCTAGTATTCTTTGGTCTGCCTGTGAGTTAGCTACCCGTTAGCAGCCTGATGTGGAATGTGACCTATCTCTTTTCTTTTCTTTTTACAGAATGCTATGAACCTACCCCCTGACAAAGCCAGGTTACTGCGGCAGTATGATAATGAGAAAAAGTGGGAACTGATTTGTGATCAGGTAAGACACAGTGATGCTTTAATCAAGAAATAATAAAAGAAGAAAGCTCAATTTCCTCTCTAAATATGGTAGACTGTTTCTAGGATATGCACGGATTTGTTTCGTGACTCTTTGCCTTCCTGTTTCTTATGACCAAAGGTAAAGCTAGGAAGTGACATCTTTTATTAGTGCATTATTTAATTCTCTCCTTTATTTTCAAGCATTATTAGACTTTCTGGGAAATCTGGTCAGGTGCCAAACTGAATTCAAGTCTGTTTTTCGGTTTTACATAGCAGTTTATGCAGCTTGAATAATACAAGTCCTCTAGTTGGCTTTCTTGTTTAGTTACATTGATGGATATTCATGCAAGAAGGCAGAGTGTTTATAAAGAAACGATGCTTAGGCTGATAAGTTATTTCAGATCGCAGCAGTTCTCCAGGTGTTTTAGTTTTACCATTATAACATTTAGATTCTTCAGAGAGAGAGGTAAAAAAGTGAAATTCTCCATTTTGTTTCTTTGTACTCTTAAAATTCTCCACCTTAGTGGTCCACTGGTAAGACCTTTGAAGTATTTCCTTGCAGCTTTTTAAATGTTTTTGTTCTAAAAACCCCAAGTACATGAATGTACACACTCTCTTTTCTGCCTCTTGGTGCATTCGTCAGTATATATGTTTCTGCCCCATTGTTTTAAATGGTATGGAGTGTTCCATTGTAACTGGTAGTTTTTTTGGCATTTGGTTGCAGTGTTTGATATGGGTTAGGTGATTTAAATCTTAGAAAGGTCACTCCATAGATAATGGGCTCTTTACATTAACTTTATTTTGTGCCATGAACTTCAGGGTGGTTGTTTCACCCCACCTCCTGCCACCCTGAAAATTTCTGGGGAGTTATAATTCGTGCTAACACTGCTCCCTGGGGTCTCTACTGTGGCTACAGCATGTATCCGAGGAGCAGAAGAGGTTTTTTTATTGCCTGTATTTAGAAGTATTACCCTAGGAGATACCTGCCTGCAGTTGACATGGAGCTTCTGGCAGGTTCATTGTGTGTGGTTTCACCTTAGCTTCTACATTCACACAGTAGAGAAACCATGGCAAATACCCTCCCCTCTTTTCCATGCTGTATTTGAGTGTCAAGAGTAGATAGAAACTGAAGAGGAAGCTTACTGCTTTTATGACCGTGATGCAAAAGAGGAAAATTTGCTGACACTTGGATTCTCCTTCCTTGAGAGTTAGTTTTTTCATGAGTATTCTCCAAACCAGTTACTATGAAGAAAAATGATTTTACCATGACAGTGAACAAAGATGATAGGGATAATTATTATTATTTAAAAAAAATTTTTAGGGGCACCTGGGTGGCTCAGTTGGTTAAACGTCCAGCTTCGGCTCAGGTCATGATCTCACTGTTCGTGGGTTCGAGCCCCACGTCAGGCTCTGCTGACAGCCAGCTCAGAACCTGGAGCCTGTTTCAGATTCTGTATCCCCCTGTCTCTCTGGCCCTCCCCTGCTCGCTTGCTTGCGGGTGCTCTCTCTCTATCAGAAATAAATTAAAAACAAACCACATCTTCTTGATCCATTCATCTGTTGATGGACACTTAGGCTCTTTCCATGTTTTAGCTATTGTGGAGAGTGCTGGTTTATCTATACCATGGAATACTACATGGCAATGAGAAACAATGAAATCTGGCCATGTGTAGCAACATGGATGGACCTTGAGGGTGTTATGCTGAGCGAAATAAGTCAGGCAGAGAAGGACAAATATCATATGTTTGCACGTATAGGAGGATTAGGAGGAACTTGACGGAGGAACAAGGGGGAGAAGAAGGGCGGAAATGGTGGGGGAAAGGGAGAGAGGCAAACCATGAGAGACTCTTGAATGCTGACAAAAACTGAGGACTGATGGATGTGGGGGGGGAGGGGGGGTGGGCATGGAGGAGGGCACTTTGGGGATGAGCACTGAGTGTTATGTAGAAACTAATTTGACAATAAACTATTTGTAAAAAACAAAAAAAATAATAAAAAAATAAAACAAAACAAAAAAAAAATAAAAACATTAAAAGAAAAAAAGAAATAAATTAAAAACAAACAACAACATTAAAATTAAAAAAAATGTTTAATGTTCTACTTATTTTTTGAGAGGGAGAAGATCAGAGAGAGAGGGACAGGGAGAGAGAGAGAGAGACTCCAAAGAGAGGCTCCAGGCTCTCAGATGTCAGCACAGTGCCTGATGCAGGGCTTGAACCCACAAACTGTGAGATCATGACCTGAGCCAAAGTTGGACGCTTAACCAATTGAGCCACCCAGGTGCCCCCATAGGGATAATTAATGTAAAGGAAAATCCCACAAATGAGGACGGGTTGGGGGGGGGAGTGTGGTGGTGACAGTTTTAGGATGACACGTGATGATAGCATAGGCAGAGGAAAGTCACTTCGGAGGCTGTTTTGTTAGCACTGTGGGGAAGCTCAGCACTTCCTCAGACCTGTGGGTTCACTGGCCATCAGGCTGCTCAACTCCTTTTTAGCTTTATTGAATTGTTACTTTTTGCCTCTGGTAGCCAGAAAGAGCAGATTGCTGCTGTTGGAAGATTTCTAACAGCTATACTCTTCCCTTAGACCAAGTGTGGCTTCATAGGTTTGATGGTGGGTCTAGGGGAGTTGGAGCTAAGAGAGGGGCAGACCAGCTAATGATGTTTCTGGTTTTCAGATTCTCAGAGTTGAACTTATCATTGCATTTAAGGGTTAATGTGCCGCATCATGGAGAATTTCGCTGTTTTGTCTGTTCCTTCTGGAAGTTTCTTCAACACATGCCAAAAGTTACAGACCAAAGTGGCTCCATCAGTTTAGAGGTGTTCTGGGTGATTTATTAGTAAGAGTGAAATATAATTATTATTGCCAGGATTTACTAAGTAGACTTTCATTCTTTTTTTTTTTTTTTAAAGTTTGTTTTTGAGAAAGGGGGAGAGAGTGAGCGCATGTGCATGCAGAGGAGGGGCAGAGAGAGAGGGAAAGAGAATCCCAAGCAGTCTCTGCACTGTCAGCGTGGCGCCCAGTGTGGGGCTTGAACCCATGAACCATGAGATCGTGACCTGAGCTGAAGTCAGATTCACCCCTAAGGATAATTTTTCTTTAAAAAACTTTTTTCTTCGTAGTGTTTATTTTCGAGAGAGAACGAAACAGAGGGTGGGCAGGAGTTGGGAGTTGGGGACAGAGAGAGGGAGACACAGAATCTGAAGCAGGCTCCAGGTTCCGAGCTCTCAGCACAGAGCCTGATGTGGGACTGGAACCCACATACAACGAGATCATGACCTGAGCCAAAGTCAGACGCGTAACCAACTGAGCCACCCAGGCGCCTTTCTTTTTCTTTCTTTTTCTCTTTTTCTTTTTCCTATTTTTTTTTCTTTTTCCTTTTTCCCTTTCCTTATTTATTTTTATTTTTGAGAGAGAGAGAAGGAAAGAGTGAGAATCCATGCAGGCTCCACACTTAGTGTAGAGCCCAAAGTAGGGCTTATGCGCTCCCAAAGCGGGGCTCCAACTCATGACCATGAGATGATGATGTGAGCCAAAGTCAAATGCGTAATCACCTTAGCCACCCAGGTGCCCCTGTAGATTTTCTTAATAAGAGCTTTGTATTTTAAAAAGCAGTCATATGCATTCATATCCCTATTTGACAGATGGGAAAAGAGAGGAAAAAATGACTGCTGAAGATGACATAGATGTTTAGTGGTAAAGTGGCCTAGGTGGTCTGATTCTGGAAAACATGCAGATTCAGGGAGTCATATGCTCACCCACTGCTCTTTTCTTCCTTCCTCATGAAGTGCTCATTCGTATACTTGAATACTACTAAACAATAAATAAAAAATACAGGTTGTATCTGTTTCTTTGGCTTGCAGTTTCATTGGGTTTCCTGAGAGAGAGAGAGAGGGAGAGGGAGAGAGGGAGAGAGGGAGAGAGAGAGAGACGGAGTTCTAACTCAGGTACCTAGCTGTGCCTGCCTATCACTGTGGTGAACTGCTATGTTTGATTAACCATTAGTAATTTAGGAAACTGTAGCAACAGAAAGTTTTTAGTCACATACGGGTAACCCATTGGTATGTCACACACATAAACACCATTTCTCCTCTGTATATTTGTGAGGGGAAGGGTAAAAACTATGAGCTTAAAGCATTCATAGTGTACTATTCATACGGTAAATGTCAGATATTGTTTAGTGGTGGAATGTTTATCTTGTTACCTACATGAACCATCTCAGGTATTTATATTTGCTACCTAACCTGTGTTTATCTGTGGTACCTAACCTGATGGCCTCACAAAATATATTTGCTTTTAAAATTCCACCTATATGGTGGGGTGTCAGGCTGGCTTAGTCAGTAGAGCGTGTGACTCTTGATCTCAGGGTTGTGAGTTCAAGTCCCATGTTGGGTGTAGAGATTACTTACAAATAGAATCTTAAAAAAAAAATTTTATGTATATAAAATGTCCTGAATAGAAAAATCCATAGAGAAAATAGATTACTCATTGCCATGAACCAGGAGGGAGAAGGGAGTGACTGTTGATGGGTACACATTTTTTTCTTTGTTTTCTGTTTTTGCTTTGTTTCGGTGTGATGGAAAGCACACCAAATTACTTAGTGGTGGAAATTATATTGTGGTGATAGTTGCATTGCCTTGCAAATAGAAAAAAGTTGTATGCCTCTTTTTTTTTTTTTTAACATTTTTATTTATTTCTGAGAGAGACAGTGTGAGCAGGGGAGGGTCAGAGAGAGAGGGAGACATAGAATCTGAAGCAGGCTCCACACTCTGAGCTGGCTGTCAGCAGAATTGGGCTCTGTGCTGAGTGTGGATCCTGCCTAGGATTCTCTCCCTTGTCCCTCCCCCGCTTGCATGCTTGCTCTCCCTCTCTCTGTCTCAAAAATAAAAATAAATTTAAAATAAAAAAAAAAAAATAAAGGGCGCCTGGCTGTCTCAGTCAACAAGAGCATGAGACTCTTAATCTCAGGGTCCTGAGTTCAAGTCCCACTTTGAGGCCC